TCGAGTAGCCTTTCTCTGCCTACCATCCACAAACTGACGGTCAGACTGAGCGAATGAATCGCACTTTGGGTGATATGCTGCGAACTTACGCTGGCAACAACCCTCGTGTTTGGGACACCTATCTTTCGGCTGCAGAATTCGCGATGAACAACGCTGTCAATCGCTCTACGGGACAATCTCCTTTCTTCTTAAATTACGGGTTCCACCCAGCTACTCCCGTCTCACGTGAACTTGATGTTCCGGTCCCGGCAGCCAAATCCTTTATTAAGTCGTACGTTGCTCGTATTGCAGAAGCGAAGCAGTGTCTGGAAAAAGCCATAGACCGTACGACTAACTATTACAACCGCGGCAGAGCCGAAGTTACCTTCAAGGAAGGCGACTTAGTGCTTTTAAGTACGAAAAATCTGCGGCAGTTAGCCGTCGGACCTCGTAAATTATTGCCGCGGTGGGTGGGTCCTTACCCTGTGAAGCGCATGGTTGGCAAAGCAGCGGCCGAGCTTGTCCTACCGTCTGATATGCGCATCCACCCCACTTTCCACGTAACGTTGTTGCGGCCTTACAAGGCGCCAGCGGATGCGTTGGATTCTTCAACTGTTCGCGACAGTTCTTCTGCACTTTCTAGTCCTGCAGGACCGCCGCCGGTTCAGTGGCTGAAGAGCGATCCACTTTACTCGGTCGAGCGCATACTGGATTATCGTGCCCGCCGCCTAGGAAGACGCCGTAAGGGGCTGGTGCACGAGTACCTCGTCAAATGGACCGGGTATTCCAATGAACATAATAGCTGGGAGCCAGAGAAAAACTTTACGCCCGACCTTCACCCCGAACTTCAAGCAGTTAAGGCTCGTGCCACTAACGCTGTGAGGACGCTGCGTCCTGAGGGGGGATAGTTGTTGTGGCACACCTGCATATTAACCCTCGGATCTTTCCCCAATTCTCTGGCACTTTGCCGCTGGGCAATATCTTCGCTCTTACTTGGTTAACCATTGGGCACTTGCCTATCTTTAATTGGGCGCTGGCCCACCTTTAAGCGGGCACTTGCCTGTCTTCATCACGCGTGATACTGGATTATAGCGCTCTTGCTATAATCGTGACACTTGTCACTGGTAGACCCACTTGGGTTACGATTGCACCGATTGGTGATAATTCGCGTTGACGACTATATCTTCGGACCGTACAGACTTCTGTACGGGTCATCCTAACGCAGAGGCATTTAGCCTCTTCTCATTCACTAATCGGTAGTTTTCACTACCACCTAAACAGTGGAGGTGGATACAACACGGAGGTCCAACGCTCCTCTAGGTTTCTGGCGTGTTTGTACTCGGTCGTATAGCGTTCACGTGTTTCGGTTGCACGGCGATCCAGGAGGCGGAGTTCGGCCGCCAGGTCGGGGTCCAGCTTGGTTGCTGCCATGAACTGTTTGACGACTCGTGTTCGTTCATCGGGTGTGGTAGAGAGCGGGCGCAGGAGGCGGATGTGGTCGAGTGTCTTGTAGCGGGTGAGCAACACGTACATGGTTGCACGCTTGAGGCCACCGGGCGGGACGGAAAGGTCTGCGACCCAGCATTCTTCCTTGAAGCTACGGCCCTGTACGAAGTAGTCGGTGACGGCGTAGTAGTCACCAAGCGGTACATTGACTCGACGTACATTTTTGGTGGTGGTGCCGGTGTTGGCGGCTGGCACGGTGATGTTTGCTGCCGGCGAGGGCCGTGGTACGATGGCGAAGGCAGCACCTTTGGCTGCGAAGTCCGATAAGTCTGCTAGCACCGCTTTGGGTGCGTGCCCTTTAATGGGACGGACCAAGACGGCTGCAGGTAGGTAGTGGAGGCGCCAGTACGGGCCGCGGCCGTCGTCGGGCGGTTCACGGCTGTCGGTAAGCAGGCCACACACCTCGACTTCATTGTTGTGGCACGCGCCGGCGTCGGCAGCTGTGGTGTCGAGTAGGGTGTAGCGTGCACCCTCGTAGTACCAAGTGTCGGCGGTGGTGTGGTCGAAGATGGCGTCTTTTACTCGCATTGCGACAGCCTTTTCGACGTGTGAGAGCGCCTGTTGTTGGGTTGCGCCATGTTGCCTAACCGGGACGTGGTCCGCATTCCAGCTGACCAAACGCACTCCTTTGCGGCGCGCCTGGAGCATCAGGAGGCGTGTGTTGAGCGCGTGCCTGGGTTCGTTCCGTTGCAGCATGACGCGGGGTTCGAGGTCTGTGAGATCGGACAAATCTGTGATGACGCGTTGGTTGAGTGCGTCTACTAGATCTGCGACACGTGCTTCAGTGGTTGGAATGCCGCCGAACATGGTTGTGAAGCGGGTAAGCTGCTGGCCAGATGGGCTGTTGTCTTGCCGCTGCTGTTTCTGCAGCATGAATACGGTGCCGCCGAGCTGACGGTACAGGTTGAAGCCGTCGTGTAGGCGGGTGTGCGTCTGTGGCACTGGGCGACGAGTGCGACGTGTGGAGGTGGTGGCGCGACGGTTGCCGGTGTCGTCGTCTGCGTCAGTGTTGTCATTGTTGCTGTCATCAATACGGTGACCTCGACCTTCGTCAAGCGAAGCTGGTGTGCGTTGTGCTGTCGGTGCCGAGGGAGTGAACTGGGGGTTTCGCTCAACGTCGGCGGCGTAGCGGTACGGTGGTGAACCGCCTGGCTGAGGGTGCTGTAGCAGGTCGCCGATTCCGCCCGCGGCACGGCCGGATAAGACGCGGCTGCTGTCATGGGCGGGCCCAAGGTGTGGCGGAGGCGGCAGAGTGGCTGTGCAGGAGTGGCTGATGGCGCCGAGGTGCTCGTGGCTTTGCATGCCAATTTCGTCGATGAGCACAGCGCCGTCGCCGACGTTGCATTTTACTTGAAGGCCAGCATGTGCGCCGCGCTTAGGAAAGTTGGTGCCACGGGAGCCACTTTGGCTGGCTGAGATGCCGAACATGGAGTGGGTAGATAGGCTGCGATGGACTGGGGTGTTGAACGCGATCGCGGCGGCCCAAGAGTATGCGCACGTGGCGGCCCAGTCAGGACTGTCATGTTGGTACGTGTACCACAGCAGTGCGTGTACGAACTGAGTCTTGCCTGTGCCCGGAGGACCCATGACGAGCATTTGCGGTGGGACACCTGGATCGGGTTGGTTGCGGCGGTCGAAGTAGCGTGCCATGAGCATGAATGGCACGGCCTGATCCGGCGCCAGGGTAAACAGCTCGATGGTTTCATCGATGGTCGGCGGCCGTGCTAAACGCAAGTAGGTTGGCATTCCCGCTGTGATACGGTCAGATTGTTGGGTGCCGTTTACGAGTACCGCTACGAGTGGGTAGCCGGGGCGGCGATCCAATTGCAGACGGGGTGTCCGTTCAGTGGTGGTCGGCGTGGTTGTGGTGCCTTCAGAGACGACTAGATAGCGCCTCAGGCGCTTAGAAGCTTCACTTAGCAGCGCGACGTCAGTGGCCCGTACACGGCGAATGAAGGGGTTGGTGTTCGCGCCGAGTGCATCANGGAGAGGAAGTACACGGCAACGGCGAGCTGCACCG